AAATTGTAATTGAAAATAAAGTATGATAAAAAAATTCAAACCACACGAATTGAACAGTAAAAGTCTTGGGGAGTAGAGCCACCCTTTAACGAACGTACTTTGATCAGTATCAAGAAATGGTTGAAATAGAACTTAAAGAGAAAACAACAGTATATTGCTTCTGAGTGGATGTTACAATGTGCTTTACAAATAATCAGACCCCCTTTATATAGTAGGGGAGTCCTACTTTAGGTACAATTCTATAAAAGGTAAAAAATCTCATAATTTGCTAATTAGTCGATTTTTCATTGATATGTACCGAGATTCCCGCCGTGATACCCGACCGGTTACGGATATTTCGGCCTTCTGTTATCCGGTCTGACAATGTTTCCTCAAGCTCATTCGGTTTAAGGGTCGACTCTGGGGTCACGGACTCGATGTCCTTGAAGACGGGCATTCTGACCTCGTGCCCTAGTTTGATGGAACCCGAGGTCGATCTTCAACCGTTCACGTTTCAATCCTGATCTGTCATCCAATAGACGAGTCCAATTTCGACTGTATACATATGGATTTTAAAACAACGGCTTCAAGCGTTAATAATAGGTTCTAAATTTAATATGTTTTCAAATTTGATGAGTTTCTAACACAAATTCATTATTTTAACATAAGTTACTGGGTTCGGTCAAATCCGTAACTGGGCTTCTACCTCCGCCCCTAATTTCATGAGACAATTCTTAAAGTTTGGACTGAAAAACTGAACTATAAGACAAAGTATATGAAATTCGAACATCAGGATAGTGGAAAAGAAGCGGAGAAGAAGAAGCGGATCTCTGCAACTCTTTCAGGTAATGGCTATAATTTAAATATACTAATAATGTTGACAATATATTAAACAACATTACTAAAAGTAACTTTCTTCCCAATTAATCCAGTTGTACAATACATGATCAAACCAAAAGGGATAGGGAATAGGGGAAAGTGGGAGGGGCCATAAATATTTCTGTTAACCTTGACACGCCAACTGGATGTGACTCTAGTAAATCTTTCTAATTCATATATGAAGACCAACTTTGGTCTATGCCGTATCATTTGGATGACGATGGGGAAAGTTTGTTTGGTTGGTAGAATAAGGTATAACAATTTGGGGATAAAATGTGGTACTGTATTATTTTTCGCGTTTGATTATGAATATTAATTAGTTCAGAAAACTATTTTATACTAAAAAGGTGGAAATAGCTATATATATATATATATATATAGAAGGTGAGATAATTAATCTCTACCCATAAAATATTCCTGTCTATCCCATCTTGATAACCAAACGGCCCCTATATGCACTAGTGAGCATCCTTATCTCGCTCTATTCCATCATACGTAGTTCAAAATTAGTGTTGCTTCTCTACGGAATTTTTTTTCTATCCTACTAGGATAATAATAAATAAATTTGAGACAATACGATTTTATATTTAATATTTTTTCGGTTATATGGTTTAATTCATAATCTCTTTATTCCATATTATGTTGCACAGATTCTTTAAAATGTTGTCACACTCATATCAGATAAAATACATTATTTTTGGAGAATTCAGTACGCACCCAATAATATTTTTTGAAGAGTTAAAACAGCATATAAGTTACATAACATGTTTATTTGAGGTACACATTGGACAAAGGCTAGCTGTTTGACTTTTCTACATCCAACTGACAATTTCTTCGGAGTCTTTCATTACAAATGTTATATTTCAGACCACCATCAATTTCTCCCAACAATTAATACAACTCTTTCTTTTTCATGATAGTTACAGGTAGGTTTATCACACTAATAAAGCAAGTATGAAAACACATAATGATTTTCTTTAAAATTTTATACTAATCTAAATGGTTCCTATTTCTATTACTAGCAACAAATAATTTTTTCAATACCGAAGGATACTCTTTCCATTTTTGATGATTTAAGGAAGCATCTTTACATGTGAATAATGATAATGAAGTCATAACCGAAAGTATTAAGTACGTAGTCCGAAAAGACTGCCATTGCAATATTTTCTATTAGTCGCTATTGCCAGGACAGTTGGGTCAATGCTTGCTCCGAGAATAATGCGACAAAAATGGTAGGAAAATAAAGAAGAACAAGTTGTCTAATTAGAAAATAAAGAAAGCAACCTGCCATTTTTTTCCTACACATTAATAGTTGACCATAAGATGGGGGAGAGTGAGATCCCATTGCTGTCATCAATGTTTTGAAATCCACGGTATGAGTATTCTGATATTATCCTTTTAGGCGGAATACAAGTGGATCAACTAAATATATGCATAAATAGCAGTACATTAGTTTCTTATTTTGTAAAGGCAGTGTAAAGCTATGGCTGGTGGAGGATTTGGTGATGACAAAGGAGGAGCAAGAGCTCATCTTTATGAGTATAGGATTACTGGGTATTTTGTTTTTGCTTGTGTTGTTGCAGCCATGGGAGGATCCCTTTTTGGGTATGATCTAGGTGTTTCTGGTGAGTATATATATTTTCTTCTTAAACATCCTATTTTTCTCATCTCAAATACTTTCAGCTTATGTTTACACTATTTTTTACAAGTGTTTGGTTTGGGTTATTCAAGCCACTTGTGCCATTGTTCTCTTCCAATCATTATTGCCATCGACGCCTTTTCTTTGTGTTTTGTGCTTTTCCCCCTTTCCCTTGAACAGTGAAGAAGAATAGGTTGTTGACCAACGGAAAGTATGGGGAAAAAATATACATAAACAAAAATGGGTTAAAAAGAAGGATAAAGTAATTTTTTCGTATACCAATATGAGGCAGGCTAAAACTCTACCTCAATCAAGTGAACAGAGGGTCTAAAATGTACGAATGTTCACCCTCGGAGGATTGCAAAGCATGTCCTTCAAATTCAAAATTAATATATGTAATATTGATATGTAAAAGAAAATTGAGGCAGTTTGACGTTGGAGAATATTCTATTCTAGTAAGTAGAAAACATGGCAGCAATTTCCTTTTGTTTTTAATTCCAAATGAGTATTAGTACGGCAATTAATCTTACAAACTTTCTTGTCTACTCTTTCACTCCTTTTGGTTGGGGATATTAAGGACAATGAATCTGGTCAAAATCTTAAAAAGCGCAATGATTTAGTTGATAGCCACATATAGCATAAGACATTAGCCAATTCTACATCCTCCTTTCTGTTGGTTTCAGGCGGGGTGACTTCGATGGATGATTTCTTGAAAGAGTTCTTCCCAAAAGTGTATAGAAGGAAGCATGCACATCTCCAAGAAACAGACTACTGTAAATATGACAATCAGATACTCACACTCTTTACTTCCTCTTTGTACTTTGCTGCACTTGTTTCCACATTTGGTGCTTCATATGTTACCCGCAACAAAGGCCGTCGAGCCAGTATACTTTGTGGAGCAGTCAGTTTCTTTCTTGGTGCAATACTGAATGCATTTGCAAAGAACATTGCAATGCTCATCGTTGGTCGATGTCTTCTTGGAGTTGGCATTGGATTTGGCAACCAGGTAACTGCCAATTCTATTTCTTAAAAACAACAACAAATAGAATATTAACTTGTCTCTTCCAGGCAGTTCCTCTCTATCTCTCAGAAATGTCACCTGCAAAAGTCCGAGGAGCAGTCAACCAACTCTTTCAACTCACAACTTGCTTGGGGATATTGATAGCCAACTTTATAAACTATGCAACCGACAAAATCCATCCATGGGGATGGAGATTATCGCTTGGCTTAGCCACAGTTCCTGCTGCAATAATGTTCATTGGTGGGCTTTTCCTTCCCGAGACCCCAAACAGTCTCGTAGAACAGGGTAGATTAGAGGAAGCAAGACAAGTGTTGGAGAAAGTTAGAGGTACCACAAAAGTTGATGCAGAGTTTGCTGATCTTAAAGATGCAAGTGATGCTGCCAGAGCCATAAAAAATCCCTTCAGGAACCTCCTCAAAAGGAAGAACCGTCCTCAATTGGTAATAGGAGCACTCGGAATCCCAGCATTCCAACAGCTCACTGGCATGAACTCCATTCTTTTCTATGCCCCTGTCATCTTTCAGAGCTTAGGCTTTGGCTCAGGAGCATCATTGTATTCATCTGCTATCACCAGTGGTGCACTTGTTCTAGCTACATTCATTTCCATGGCTTTTGTTGACAAGTTTGGAAGAAGAGCTTTCTTTCTTGAAGCTGGAGCTGAAATGATCTGTGTCTTGGTAATTTCTGCTTTTAAATGAGATTTCTGCTTTACATGAGTGTATGTACTTAACTGATAATTTGTTCCACAGGTAGCAGTTGCTGTTACTCTAGCTTTGAAGTTCGGAGAAGGTGAAGCGCTCCCAAAAGGAATTGGTGTCTTCCTTGTAGTCATAATCTGCATATTTGTTGTGGCTTATGGTAGGTCTTGGGGTCCCTTAGGTTGGCTGGTTCCAAGTGAACTCTTTCCCCTAGAAACACGGTCAGCAGGACAGAGTGTGGTGGTCTGTGTCAATATGATCTTCACAGCCCTCATTGCCCAGTGTTTCCTCGTGTCCCTATGTCACCTCAAATACGGAATCTTTCTCTTGTTTGCGGGCTTGATTTTCATCATGAGCTGCTTCATCTTCTTCCTCTTGCCCGAGACAAAGCAGGTTCCGATAGAGGAAATATATTTGCTTTGGCAAAATCATTGGTTCTGGAAAAGATACTGCACCCCGGGGGAGAATGAACGTGAATTGGACGGGAAGCCCTGATCACAGATCCATCCAGAGATGAAGATTAGCTTTCTGATTGATTTGTTCCATAAAAAGCAAATGGAGAGGACATTCTCAATAAAAATACCACACCTACAACTAGAGTAAATGCATTATGGATCCCTTTTCAATTGCTCAGTCTCCAAATATCGTTTATTATCATGTTTAACTTCTTAATCATCTAAATTGTCGTTTCACCATTTAATTAAGCTTACACATGGGTTTACAAGATATCAAATGGCAGAAATATTTAAACAGAATAAACCGACGTGAACAAAAGAAGAAAAAAAAAAGGCAACAAGTCCACTGATGTATACAAGAAAATTACAGAATGCATACCATAACATATTGACATTATACAAAAGAATTATTTGACTTGATCCTTGATTCATCAAGCTAAGCTAGTAATTTCGCAAGCTCATCTACTCCTAAGCTTCCTTTTGGTACTACATTTAGATAATCTTCTCTAATACCCTTCATCTTCTCCTTTCTAGTACTCTTTGTTGAATTGGCTTTACTACCTGAAAAAGCAGTTTCTCTTCTACCAGAAACAACAGTTTCTTTTCTCGACGAAGTTAGTGAGTTTTTAGTGCCTTGTACCTCCAAATCACCAGTTTCTTCTCCCTCAGGTCTCTGAACTGGCACTTTCTTAGACCGATGCTGAAAAACTGGTCCGGGTGGGGCAGACCTGGAGAGAGTAACTGCCCTTTCGTACACAATGTCAGCATCCAAACTAGAATCATCTAATAGGACCGCACTCCCACTTTCAATAGCCTGCTTCCGAAGTAGTAAAATTCCCTCCGTCCAGGGTGCACTTGAGCTTACCAGCTGATAGCACTGGTTTGTATCTTCGGATACAGAATGTACCTCGTAACCAGTCAACGGAACCAAAGATGAGGAATCAGATTTGTTTACATCATCTGAAGCACTCCTCACCACTTTTTCTGGCACAACTGAATCATCCAACCTTGTTTTGCACTCACTAAGAATTCTAGAATTGTCACCTGTATCATCTCCTGCATACACCGGAGGGCTTTCACTTCCACTGATCTCCTCCCTAGTTGTAACAGCACTAACATCTAAAGGAACCTTATTGGAAGATTCCAAATAGGTACCCTTTGATCCATCTTCCTCTGTAACATTGCTTCTTACATATTCTGCATCTTCCTCAACCAGAGGAGAAACATTAGCACTGAGATTGCAAGGATTCATTTCTGTAATTAGTAAGCTTGGACTTCCTGATGTAGATTCAACCAGTTGGCCTTCAAACGATCGGTAATTGCTGGCAGCATTATCAGCTTTAGAACCCTTCCTTCTCTCAGGTTTCTCTTTGTCATCAGGTAGAGAGGATACCCAATCCCATCCTCTCCACATGAGTATGTGCTCTTGCTCAAAAGAGATTAACACACATGGGACAAGATCCTACAGTTTAGAAAGATAAGAAACTTACAGCAATGAGTGGATTAATTTCTTGCACTTCTATCTTTTTCCAAAAAAAAATTTGGGTGTCCTGTAGCCACCTCACGGTAATATAGCATTTAGTCATTTACTAGTATCAGAAATAGTTTTACCTTAAGCTTGGCACCTATCTTCCTATAGTCACTTGGGTTCATTCCTTGACAATTTATACGCACCAATTCACAAGCTTCAAATGCTTCTCTGATATTCTTCGCAAGGTCACAATACACCCCATTTTTCCCTGCAAAACATTCAAGACTACTATCAGAGAGATTTTTTGGTCGGAATCAATTAAGAGTAGCAAAATTTAAAGCAACACAGACCAAGCTTGCAGATAGGTATCAGATTGCGTCCTTTTTTCCGCATTTCAGTTGCTTCCTCTAAAGTCAAACCCTCGGGAACTCGTTGGACCAACCTTGGGTATACAGGAGTCACAGGCCGCCATAACATGAGAGGAAAGCGTGGCCGAGTCTTATAGTTGTAGTTTCGACCACGGAAAAGGTATATCAAACCACCTTTATGATAGATAATTTTCCCACCTGTCTTTTCCTGTACATATAGGATATCAAAAAAGAAACGATTTCAAATAACTGCCTGAGACGTCTGTCAGAAAAACAACAGCTTCAACTTGAGAGAAGCAACAAAAATGATTAACTTTAAATCTCATCCCATAATCAAGCTATATGAAGATTGTATAGTCGACAGTTCTAGTTAGCCTTCAATGTGAGACATGGTCAGGAGGGCAGGTGTATTATCTGGTCAGGAGGACTTCTTCATTGTAATCTATAAGTTCTTTACAACAACAACTACACCTCAGTCAAAAACAAGGAGGGATCAGTTATATGAATCCTCATTGACCATGTTTCTCCATTTAAATTCAAAAATGTTATACTCTCTCCGTTTCAATTTATGTGAATTTATTTGGCTGGGCACAGAGTTTAAGAAAAAAGAGAATTGACTTTTTAACTTGTAGTATAAAATGAGTTACAAATATTTTATGTGGCTATAAATTATTGCATAAAGATAAATTATTTTCAAATATGGAAAGGGGTCCTTTTTTAATTTGGCACGGCCTAAAAAGAAAATAGGTTCACATAAATTGAAATAGGGGGAGTAACAAGTAACAATAAAATTAACAAGTACTAAAAGTTCTTTATATTTTCTATTGGCATAAAAATCTCAAATAGAGCTAAAAAGATCCTAGAAAGTATATAACCCAAAGAATATGTACTAACATGACTATAACATATTCTCAACAAATTGGTAACACCTATAGAGATCATTTTCTTCCATTATACCCTATCTTTCCCTAGATTCCAAGAAATTGTAGGTCTTTTGAGAAAACTTCCTTCCATGTGATTTTAGGTCCATCTCCTTACCCTTTTAACACCTTCAGTCACTATGGATTCACACCTACAGATCGGTGGATCTAGAGATCGATACAGGACATGACAAAACCATATCAAGCGACTCTTTCTTATTTTATCCTCAATGTGTGCTACTTGCACCTTCTAGCGAATGTGGCTATTTCTAATCTTGTCTAATCTTATATGACCTCACATCCATCTTAACATCCACATCCCCACAACACTCATCTTGTGGATGTGTTGGACTTATTGAGATTCTTTATGGGGAAAAAACCCGACATATCGGATTCTGTGCCACAAGCTTCAACATGACAGGTTAATTACCAATGCTTGGAATAAAGTAATTTACAATGAGCTTAATTTTGCAAAGACCTATGTTCACCAGAGAGTAACAATATTCCAAAGAAACAAAACAGTTACAACAACTTGCAAGGGAGAAAATATTAACACCACTAACCTCTAACTTGTCACAGACATTGTCCATGTCCACAGTACACACTCCCTTGCATTTTATCTTGCACACCCTTTTCCGCTTCCAGTGAGCATGGATATTCTCCAACATGTTATGTGTTAAGCCATCTCGTCCTGCTAACAAGAAAGGTACGGAGAGTCAATGAGAGAGCAAAAATCAGAGTCAGCATATTCTCTTTGTCACGAATCGAGAAGATCGAATACAAAATAAGCATTTTACGAGCTTTTCAAAGATCATATATACCTTAAGGTAACTCCAACTACAAACACTAGTGAAATGAAATTAATAAAAGAGAAACCCTTTGGTCACAAGAAGCTTTTATAATGAGAACTGAGCTATTCACATTGAACCCTGATAAGCTATTCCAAAATAAGAGAACTTGAGCCTTGAACACACAAGAAAATATGAAATCATCCTGATTATAGTGTGTGTGTGTGTGTATCAGAACACATCCCCCTCCCTCAGGAAAAAGGGAAAAAAATCCTCATTGCCTCTCTTTCTCCTCAAAGGATGAAACCCATAGAAACAAGCAAACAGGAAAAATAAGAAAATGAATTAGGTATTTATACGAGTAAAACGTCAATAAGGCTTATAGAACTAAGAGAATTTGCATATCCTTGGCATTGACTGCAAAAATAAGAAGAAGATGTGCTCCTAGTGATTGCATGTTTCCATAATAAGATGTCAAACCACTTAGTTAAAAGAAAAAAAATTACCATGTGTATATGTGCCAATGTATCCATTCTGCTCTATTCAGTATCAGAACGAAATGGACGACACAACTAATGTAGATGATCCATACAACTGACTCCAAAAAATATGGGATTAAAGCACAATTGATTCATTAACTGATAGTAGTATATATGCCGAATGGTCTAAGTTACAAAAAATCTAACTAGCCCTTCCTGACGGTCCAAAAACATGTACTTCTCCTCCTTTTTGCCTTAGAGGATTCACATTCTACAACAGATTCACAGCAAAACACAATCCCCCAAGTCAACCACACAATGCAGACTTACTTGTGTGTACAAAATTATTACATGGGTAATACATATAACTTAAAATCTACTGATATACCTATATTCAATTGCCGTGTTGTTTTCTTACAACTATCTATAAGCTGCATCATTTCTTCCTTGGTCAATGGCTCTCCCAATACCTCCTCTCTAGACCTAACATACTTGGGCCCGGACCCTGCCAGGAATGGTCCAGGAGCCTGAACCGGCTTTACCCCTTTTTTATGGGGGGGCGGAAGCTTAAACGAATCAAATTCTGGAAGGTTCTTCTTGCTCGGAGGCAATGGTTTCCGACCGGTCCATGGCCTCCGCATTGACTCCGGTCCAAATGGTGACACTAACGGTTCACGCAACTTATTAGGCTTCAACTTTGGTGTTTCAGTATAACTGTACTGATACACGAAAGGAGCTTCTGGGAATTCATAACAAACACCATTTTCATCAACTTTAATATCAATAGCTGATTTTTCTGTTGTTTCTCCAGAATCTTTTGGAATGTTCCTGGGTCTAACAAAAGGTTTAAATGCGGGGTGTGTATTTTTCTGGAAGTTCCTGGAATATTTTGATTTTTTTCCGGGGATGGAAGGTGAAGAGGGAGATGAAGGAGTGCCAATGGATTTGAAGGTTTTTTTTTCAGTGATGGGGGTTGGAGGGGCAGGGTTATAATTATTGGCAATATTGAGAGCTGAATCGAAGCGTTTATGGAAGCGGATTTCGTCTTCGATTTCCTTCTGAGTTCGTTCATGGCGGATGAATTTCTCGGCATTGGCGTTGTTCCAACGGGAGAAGCGGACTTCAGTGGCTGGCCGGTGGTTGTGTGGTGGAGCAGGTGGTGAGAAAATTGGGAATTGGATTAGGGTTCTTGAACCCATTTTCACTCTTTTTTGCTAGAAGAAGATGGAAGCATCCGGAACTGCTCGCAGCTGAAGGAAAATTGGACAATATTTTTTAAACAGGGGAATGAAGAATCTATATTATATTATACCCCTACTTTTTTACCATTTAAATATAACTAGTATAAGTAGTTGCGCGTATGCGTGCACACTAATTATGTCAAATATTTAAGTTATTTGAATTGTACGTAAATAATTTTAAAATTTATACTTTTTCAATAAATATAGATAATCATTGGATATTAACTACATGAAAAAAATTAACCATTTCTTCTATTTTTTTTTATATCATTCTTGTCGGTGTCATTGAATCCTAAAAATAGTTAGGAAGTAAAATAATAACTCATATTTATGGCAAAACAATCAAATGTTGAGACAATGAATGACTCTTTGGATAAGACTTAGCACTTTTACTACTACTTGAACTCTTATTTGGTGTGTTAATATCTGTTAAAAAATATTTCTTTCTTAAATTTCAGTTTCTAAAATATTATTTTTTAATAGTAATTATGTTTATAATAATGTAATTGAAAATATTATTCTTAATTCAAAACTCATTTTAGTTGGCTATCTAAAAATATAAAAAATTCTTTAGCTAGTGATTTTTTTTACTCCATTTTGATATTTGATATTAACCATGTTAAATATCTGAGTTATTTGAATTATATGTAAATAACCTTAACATTTAAACCTTCTAAATAATTATAGATAATCGTCAGATATTAATTAAGAAACACTACATGAAAAAAGACTAACATTTTCTCAATTCTCGTAGTGATAATTTTTATTTTTGCACTATTCTCACAGGTGTCATTGGAACCTAAAAATAGCAGTGAAATAATAACTAATATTTATGGCAAAGCACAAAGTTTGACACGATATAAACGATTCTTTGATTACGACGTGACTCTTATACTACGACTTGAACTCTTATTTGGTATGATTTTATCTTTCAAAAACTATTTCTATTTTGAAATTTTAATTTCTAAAACTTTATGTATTTTAATAATAATTATCTTTATAATGATGCAAGTGAAGATATTATCCTTAATTTAAAATTCACTTTAATCGGCTATCTAAAAATTTAAATGATTCTTTGGCCGAATTTATTTCAGTATGACTCCACATTAAGTTTGTCGATATCTCTAGCCCCAGAATTTGAATTTTTAATACCCTATATATACAAAAATTTTGTTCTTTGATTCATTAAATGTTAAATTAGTTGATTATTATTATAAAATATTGCATATATTGTCTTAAAATTGTCAAGTAGTTTATTTTTCGATACCATACTTGGCTTAACCTCAATACAAACAACTCAAATTGCATTCCAATTCAAATTCGAATATCATATCAGTTTGTTGGTAATAGTGATTTTTTCAAAAACGACACATAATGTAAATTAAAAAAAATATTCTAAGATATCCTTATCTTATAATCTATGTATTTGAGTTGAAACAAAAATATTTGAAATCTATGAGATTAACTTTCAAATATTTTATATTCAACAAAGATGAAACATAAGAAGAAATTTGTTGTCATCTTTTATTTCTAGTTTTAACCTTTTTTTCAATAATTATTTTCTTTTATCTTATTTTTATGTCATTATTTATTTGTTACAAAAAATTAATTTATTTCACTATAAAAGGATGAGTTTTAATAAAAGTTGTCTACATATGAACTTTAATTATATTTTTAGTTTTTGGTTGAAATTATTTCATATTTTTCTTTTGGATTTATTTAATCAGCCGAAATAGGTGTTCACCCGACCACTTAAATAAAAAAATTGAATGATGTGTAATTTATATATAATCCATATATAATATGTGTACAATCGTGTGTTGTCGGTATATCATCTATTTATATTAGCTATAAAAAGTAAACAATAAATATGGCCAAATATTATATAAATATTCCATAAGATTTCGATTTTTTGAGTTTACCCATGATATAACTTCTATTATAATAATTTTAAAACTCTCTACTAATATTCAGAAATATCTTATCTTTTTATTATCTTTGAATTAAAAAAAAATAAATACGTTTTTCAAAATAATTTGTTTTCATTTTTAAAAAAAATATTTCAAGTCATACCAATTTTTTCTTTATATATAATCTTTGTTACACTTAAAAGTCGCTATAGAAACTATAAATAAGAAACCAATCTCTCTCTTGTTGAGTTTAAAAAAAACCTTTCACATAATCTAATGATTCAAAACTAATATTTTTCAATGAAAAAAATATTATACCCTTACAATATTGGCTTGACTACAGCTAAATAAAGGAGTTTCAGCTTATACCCTTCAATTCCTTTAATGTGCTAAATTAAAATTAATGATAGCAATTGTATAGTCAAAGTTTTGTTATTTGTTTGATGTCCATTTATGCAAATTGACTCTTCAAACAAATATTATTCAAGAAGAAAAAAGAAACAACTTTTTTTCTTAATATTGACTGATTTTGTGATTTTTTTTATCCAGTATGTATGTTTACTTTATTATATATATATAAGTAAACTTTTATTTGGTTTTGTAAACTCTTTTTTGTTATTTAGATAAACGTAGACGTGTACCCTATATATTACATTTATTTTAAAAGAATTTCGTTTTATTCAAATCTAGCTACAATATTTCAAAGAACTATACTTATAGGATTTTAAATGTGAAAGAGTTTTATAGTTATATGGAGTAGTTTTTTTTTTTGCTAGAGGCGAAGTAGTATTTAAATAATTAAAAAAAATAACAAAAGTTCCTAACATGATTGCATATGATCATTAACCGAATTAAGTATGATAATATGATAAAAAAAGATAAATTTTATTTTTAATTTAAATTCAAATTTTAGAACTTTATCTATAAATTCAAAATTTTTACTTTAATATATATATATATATATATATATATAATATTTGTATTTAACTAAAATAATTAAATATAAAATAAAGTTACCATATACTATTGACATTTATTAGTTTGCCACTTGGCTTAAACATAATGTCAATTATATATGGTAACTTTCTTGCTTCAATATATATATAGATTTTTACATTAGAGTAAATTATAATCAAATCCTCCTTCTAAATAACAACTAAATTTTTTTATTATTAATTTTTCCCTTGTTTGGATATATATTCCTATCTTGGTCCCATTTTATAATCAAAAGGACTTTATTTGAATACTAAGGAAGGAAGGATTCAAATATCAATATAAATTAGAAAAACAACTTTCAAATCCATATTTGAGTACTAAGTAAGAAAGGATTTACAATTAAGTATCAATAAGAATACCACTAAAGAATGTGGTGCAGTGGATGAGACTGTTTTTTCCTTAACCGGAGGTCTCGAGTTCGAGCTCTGGGTATGGAAAAATCCTTTGTAGGGAGCGCTTCCTCCCAAATGGGGCCCTACGTGGCGCAAATCCGGATATAATGGGGCTCCAATGCGATACGAGTATCGGACACCGGGTGGGAAACCAAAAAAGTATCAATTATAATGTCCTTTATTTATTTTTTAAAAATTAGAAAGTCCTTATTGAATAGGTAGATCCTATTATCAATCTGTTAAAATTTTGTTAATCTATGTATATCTATCTATACTCTATCTATATATATTATAGTAAAAGCACGAAGGTCCTTAGCGAAGTATTTTTCAAATTTTTTACCCTTTAAAAATAGATTTCACACTAGACAAAATAGTAGTCTGCTTATCTTCCTAATATTTTGTATTGAAATCTTTCAAAATTTTAGTCATTAAATTTTTTCTTATTTGAATTATATAGGAAATTTCAATATTTAAGACTTTTAAAATTGATAAAATCACTAAAAATTATGAACGTTTAAATTAGATACCATTTTGTTACTTTTCAAGTTAAGCACAAAAATCACGAAGAGGTTATATGTAAGGTTAGAGAGATGTATTAGACAACGGATTTGTCCGAGAAAAACATGAATTAGAGGGGGGAGAAAATTTAACGTGCCTAAAATACCAAGAGAATTTACTCCAATTCGTTCTCTGTAATTATTTTTATTTAGTAGATAGGATATTGAATTTATTGCTTACAAATTTTGGTTATTCAATTTTCGGGAGTTCTTTTTCAATTGTTCTGCATCTGTTACTTGCTTGTGGAAGCTGCTTCTACTATATTATTTTAATCATTATATTTCAGATTTGATTCACAACTAAATTCTTTTATGAACTCATCTTTTATTTTTTTATTTTTTTTTTTTTTATTTTTTTGCATACTGTGTGCAGTTTATTATTTTAGCTTTTTAGTATTAATGATATAGAAATTTCGACAGAAAGATTGGTGATTGTTTTAGTAAATTTGACCATAATCATATGTAATATAATATGTTGAAGTGTTAAAAAGCTTTTGGTGAACTTTTCCATTTTGTTATAAAATTTGCAAGCCAATTAATTGAAAAGTTAGGCATCCATGTCTTTTTAATGAAATTAAATAATAAGTGAATATTTTGACAAAGCATTTGAGCATTTTTGTCGGGCAAGAATTTTCCTTTATTGAATTTTAAGATTTCAGTTTTTTTCCTTTAATTTTTATTTTACACTGATAATTGAATTTTCCCTTCTAATTTTCATTTTACCATACAAATACGTCTTTATAATATTATCTAATTTTTAAGAAGTTTACATTCACGGTAGAGGCACATATGCAAATCATATACCCTAACACTAGGTTGACTTAATAAATTATTAATGAAATTAAAATTGTCATTTAATAAATGGAAAAGGCCTAAAAATGCCACCTAACTTTCAGAAATAGCCTATCGATGCCATCCGTTAAAAAATTGCTATTTCCATGCCATTGCCGTTACAGAAATGGCCCATCTATGCCATTATTTGACTAACGGCTGGATTTTTAAAAAAAAAAATATTTATAAGACTTGAATTTCTATGTGTCCTGTTATTATCCGAATTAACCCCTGCCCCCACTTAATTCTAACATTGGTTAGGTCCATCTATCCAAACCCAACCCGGTTAAAACAAAACCAAATCCCCTTCACTGTCGAGTCGTCTTCCCCAAATTAGCAACTCTAAAACCTCCATTAAATCCAATTTCTCCATTATCATTCTGAAATTATTACCCTAGCTCTCTAGTGCATCATTTCACGTTTCCCCCAGCGTAACTTTTTATTGTTAAAGAGTTCAAAATGCCTGCTGGGTCAAGCGGCTCAATTGACTCAAAGAGGAAGTGTCGTTGTGGATTTGTAGCGCATCATTTTACGGCGACAACTCCTATGAACTGTGGGAGACATTTTTACAAGTGTCTATTGCCTGAAGTAAGTATAATTTACATAATGCAATTCGGCATTTTTTGCGTAATATTTTATTTTTATCGGAACATAATCGGAGATTTTATTATATAATTACTTGGCAGAAATAAGGTTATGGGTATTGGAAATGGGATGATGTTGAATTTTTCCCGCGAGCTGTAATCGTCATTAGCAGTCAAAAGAGAAAATTGGAAGCTTTTGAAATTGAAAGAAATAGGTTGTTGAAGAAGATAGATGATTTAGAAGCTTCTGCTGTTATTGATGTTGCAACGATAACAGAGTTGAGGGAAAGATTGGATGCACTTGAAGCATCTGCTATTGAGGATAACTTGAAGATTGTGGAGTTGAGGGGAAAAGTATTCCGACAGTCGATTTTCTTGATTTGGTTGTTCGCTTGCCTTATTGTGTTCATGGCAGCATGGGCTACCAAACGATCCATGTAATGATCATTACTTAGAATTTCAAAAGTTTAGTCTTTTGTTAGGTATATGTTTGTTCTATGTAATTTCGACTTGTTTCCAATCTTTCCGAATCATGTAATAGTCTATGTTGTGAACTTGTTTCCAATCTTCCCGAATCATGTAATAGTCTATATTGTGAACTTGTCTCTAATATTTCCGAATCATGTAATAGTCTATGTATTCAAACCTTATTAAAATTGTTCACCACACAGAGTAGCAGTGTGTTAGTATCAGCTAGACTTGGTAAAGCAGATATAGGACTAAGATGTATTGTATCTCAAGTACAGATGAGACAATCTAAAACTAATGGACAATCATTGTGCAGTTTTGAAGTCGATAGGCTTGCTGAACATTTTATGAATTAGGACTGTTTGGATGGCATGAGATAAAAAGACTTGTGAATTTGCTCTTATCCTTTTCAAACATGGAAGCATTTAGCCATTTTTAGAGGCCTCCCTGCAGACTAAAATCGAAAAGATCCATATAGACACCATGTTTTCTGCTTCAGAACCTTTTTGTCTGAATTTTGAATTGAAGCTAAACAACACTGTAATAACTGGACATTAAAACTGCACAAAATTGAAGCTAAACAACACTGCAATAACTGGACATAAAAACTGCACATGACTGAAACTAAACAACACTGCAAAAACTGGATATAAAAACTGCACATTCAGCAGTTTCAAACTGTATTCACACAGTATTTTGCTTAACTGAACATTACAAAAAATAGTAGGTTAGCTGTCAGTGCTAATTACAAAAAATAATACTTTAAACAGTCTAATTGCTAGCGCTAATTACAAAAAATAATACTTTAAACAGTCTAGCTGCTAGTGCTAATTACAAAAAATAATACTTTAAACAGTCTAGCTGCTAGTGCTAATTACAAAAACAGTAAACTAGCTTTAAATCATCTGCTTGTTCTCTTTGGCCCTTCCTTGCCTTCATTTTGTACTTCTTTTTTCTAACTTCTTCTTGAAGTTGGCTTTAAGTAATTGCTGGTTTTTCATTCTAAGTAGCCTTTGTTGGTGAATAAGGCGGGTTCGTTGGTGTTGCTGCACATGTTTCATCTCCAGTAAAATGGATCCTTCTTGTACCAGTTGCAATCATTTGTACCTTCCTCATGGCTAGTCTTGTGTCAGTCTCAGATATAACCATTGGCCTAATTGTTGGGTGTTCATCATCTCCAACATCAGGTCCATAACTGTTGAACTCTTGTGTTCCAGCTTAAGTGTAAACTACTGACTGTTGTGTATTGTCCACAGCTTTCCCCTTTTTTGAACTAAGTCCAGCCCCACTACCCTGCCAACTGATGATGCCCAATTTTTCTTTGTATATTTTTATATATGCAAAATACTTTCAAAATAGCATATATATGCATATATAAGTATGCCCAAGTATTTTAGTATTTTTTTCTAATTTTTAAAGATTTTTAAATCAATTTATTGTCCTATTTTAACAGTACAAAAACCAATAATTGTTCCTCAAATTATCATTTTGGTGATTAATGTATTTTATTCTCATATTTATACCAAAATATAGCTAAGGTAATTTTTGCACATTTTTTACAAATTTATTTGGTATTTTAAAAGCTAAATTGCATATAATTGGAATTTTAGCCTATTTTAAGATTTAATTGCGTTTATGATTACAAAATTGATTTCAGTATTTTTTAATTTAATATTTGGGTATTATTAATTAATTTAATACTTATAATTTGTTTCAGAAATCATTTTACCTATTTTTTATAAAATAAAAAGGGAAAAGTGGCTATTTAAAATCTAGCCCTAACTATTTCAATTTTGGCCTAAAATCAGCCCCCAATTAAACCCAATTTCATTTTCAAACGGACCAGCCCAATTCAATTTAACCCGCCTCTGACCCAACTAAAATCTACCCAACCTAGACCCCCTCTTATCAGAGATCAACGACCCCTACCCATTCTTGCCTTTTTTAATCCAAACGACTACCCTAATCCCCTCATTTCTCTTCTATCAGCCGCCTTTAATGAAAGATGTGAGCTGCTCAAGATAGGGTTGAGGTCACAAGCTCTACATGTCCCATCTTGGTTTGAAAAGTTGAAGAAGATTGAACCAACACCTGCGGCTAACAAGCATCAAGATTCAGATCAGAGCCCGCATGAAGAACCAACCAAGACTCAAGATCAAGCTTCAGAAGACTCATACATAGGAATCTTGTAACTCGTAACGACACCTCGACCGACTCTCCACCTCGGTACTCCATCACCTCATTAACTTCTGAACTACACGTGGCCTGATTCCTTTATAACCAAGGATATGTAGGCAGCTCAAATACTAGGGCTCAGTCACATTCTCCTTTCTTTTGGTCTCCTTAAATAAGGGTCGGGTCAAAAAACCTGTCTAGTCATTCTTTGTCTGAAAACTCTTCGCGTTTCCAGTCAATGAGGGGCAGCTGTAGACATGTGATTTTTGACCCTCCCCAAGATTTTTCATATTTTAGCATGTAAATATTTAATCTAGGCCTAATATCACTATTTCAACTAATTTTGACTATTTTACTTTATTTTATTAGAAGAAAATGAAAACTACAAAAAATAATTTCATTAATGTTTTGTAATCATTTTTAATCTTGAAAAATACCAACAAGAAAAAGGTTTATTCTAATAGTCAGTCTAATTTTAACAGTTATTTTACTTAAGTATGACTAATTAATAAATGAGGTCGTATGTTAATCTCGTTTGCGGGGAAAGAATAAAACTTGGGCATGAACAACCCATTTTTAGGCCTAATTCTGGACCTAAAGACCTCGGAGCAACTGGGTTATCTCTCACGAAAAAGAAAAAGGGACGAGCATTCCAAAATTGGAGATCAATAATGGCTTACATATTGGATTTTGTACTCTACGATTACACCTTGTGAGCTAACCTTTGCCAAGCTTATTAAATGCTCTGTGTTTCAACCACTGTTTTGCCATATTTTTCGGCGAAAACCAACCAAATTAGCCCCGAAAAGAGCCGAAACAACAACTGAGAGACGCTGCAAATTCCACTGAAAAGATCACCTCAAAACCAATGCAAAAACCAGCCCGAAATCACCATCTCAAATCTGGTTGAGTTGAGTCATTCGGCGTTCCGATTTCGGTTCAAGTTTAAGGTCCGTGGCTCAATTGAGGACTGCTATATTTGGATACTCTTTTGCAATGCACATGTTTTGAAGATTTTTAGCAATTAAGGTGGCTCTTTCTCTTTTTCACCACTCTAATTCATTTCTCTATGATTCGAGTATTTCAAATTTATGTCACTATCCATATCACTGTTGCTTTAATGTTTTACCTTTTATGTGTGTCTGCTTTGAGTTTTTATATATTATTAGTTATAGTTGGTTTTATGAGTTTGAGCCTTTGTGTATGTTACTTCAAATCTGTGTTAGTATGAGAATTTGGATATATAAGCACTAACTTGAAAATTGAGAGTTTTAATGGTATTTCAATTGTTGGAAATTCGCATCTCTTGTTGTTCTTTTTCAACCATTTTATTGCTTGAATTACTTTTGGTTAATATTGAAGATTTTGACAGAATATTGAATATTTGATGCATTCAAAATGAATGTCTTTCCTTCGTTGTCTCACTTGATTATTTAATAAAGTTGAAGGAACGAGAATTCCGGGCTTTATGTTCCAAGTGTAGTTGCTGATTAGCTTCTGGAAACATTGGTTGTCTCTGCTTGGTAATCACAGTGACTATATTATCATAGCAATAATAGTCTGCATTAGCAATAGTTCAAAAATGCGTAGTTGCTTTAGGCGCGTAATTTAAATTACCTTCCTAAACTCGGGTGTGCATTTATCTAACCCAAATCCAAATCTCAACAACGTCAAATAAAACGTGTCATGGACTGCGGGTGAATTTATGTGACGTGGTTCAAGATGTGCTTTAGACGACGTTGAATCTTTCTAAAAATAATTAATAAAAGCGGTTACAAAGTTAAAATTGCACCATAGGCTAAAACATATATTAAAATAAAGTAATAGGCCAAATATAACAGTTGAGCGACCGTGCTAGAACCACGGGGCTCGGGAATGCCTAACACCTTCTCCCGGGTTAACATAATTCCTTACTCAGATTTCTGTGTTCGCGGACTGTAGTACAGAGTCAATCTATTCCTCGAGTCGGGATTTGAACCGGTGACTTGGGACACCATAAACTATCCCAAGTGGCGACTCTGAATTTTAGAAATAAATAATCTTGTTTCGATTGTCACTTAAATTAGAAAAAACTCCCTTATACCCTCCTTCCGGGTGTAGGTAAAAAGGAGGTGTGACAGTGACAACTTGTTTTAATTATTGCATAAGCAGGTTTTCAACATCATATTCCACTCGTGCCAAACAAATACCATAGCAACTTATAATGAGTGGTTGCGCTCTTCCGATATTATCACCCTTTAAATCCGGAAAAGGCATATTTGCGGTAGAACCAGTCGATTAACGGTGTAGTCGAGGGTTCCGTGCCTTTCCCCCTTGAGTTGTCCGATCAAGGGTACCAGTCTAAAATCCCATAGAAACCTTACTCTGTTCAATTGTGCATGCATCATGGTGAAACCTAGCCGAGTCAGTTATGTTGTCCGCATAATAACTCTTTAAGATAGCCTTATCTAAAGTCCACTAGGTTTCCCAAAAACCCAAACGGACACTATCATATTTTGTGCATTTATTTGGAGAACTAAACGCTTTTATGCCAATTATTGGTATTTAATAGTCGAGTCTGGTGGGGTAAGGGTCTAACCCTTTTGTCTTGCAGAAACATGAGGCACGAAGTCCCCAGATTCGGCATGGTTACAAACATCCACCCAAGGTTGCTAAGCTGGTGGGAGGATCTTCATTCCAGTGATCAGAATCTTGTTCGGAAATACCTAGGAAATCTACCTTCCCTCCTGGAGGTCCAACCCAACAACAAAAT